ATGATATGGTACAATTATGACTCTCTGTACTGAGCTTTTGTTTAGTGTCCTTCAGATTTTTTTAACAGGGACTCCGGTGAGAGGAAAGGCTGTAGTGTTTGAACCGTAGCTCACGAGGTTGGTGGAGAATGTGGGAGACAGGTGTTGAGTTATACGGAGGGGTAGATGACACTCGGGGGAATTTCGTACAGACTCGAACCTTGTCTTTCAACAAGCCCCTGTTCCTCTAAACCCTCCCTGCTGGGAGTGCAGCATATTGCATAGGTGAGCTTCTCTAGGGGGTGTTTACTTACCCAAACGTGCCCCAGAGACCTTCCAAGAGCAGGGAGATGGCCCAGAACAGATTAAAGCCTCTCAGGTGAGTTGAGCTTTTTTAGTCTTATCCACGCTGAAAGGAACTGGACGTGATACTATATATTCACTTTTACACTCTTAAAAATAAAGCTTCCAAATAGGGGTTTTCACAGTGATTCAATAGAAGAACCATTTTGGGTTCCCAAAAGAGCCTTTCAGTGGACAGTTCTTAAAAGAACCATTTTTGTGTCTGTAAAGAACATTTTTCCACTTCCCCCTGAGTGTTTAAGCCTCATTATTTGGACAAACAGAAAGTCTAGCCCAAAATATGCTTTGGTTTTTAAACGAGTATGGGAAACGTGGGGGAAAGCGAATGTAGTTTCAGCCAAACGGAGTTTGAGATAGAGGGAGGAAGAGGACTAAAAGAAGTTTTAATGAGAGCTGGCACTGCTCCAGGGCATAGGGGTGAGGGCGGGAGACGGAGGGGAGGAGAGAGGAGGAGGGTAGGTGCTCGCGGCAGCAGGGGTGCCGTCTTCCTGCAGATGTCACACTGCTGGTGACACCAGCGACCCCCCTCAGACCGCTCCACACTACCCTCCCTCCCCTTCTCTCCCCTTTCTCGGCTGTTTCACACCCCTCCCTTTGCTCTCCTCTCCCTCCGTCTAACCCTTCTACTCTTGCTGATGTTAAAGTTTGGTGGTGGTTGGTGTTTTCGATCAGATTCTTTGAGTCTACACTTGAATTTTGTTACATTTCTTTTTTCGTTTCATTTTCAAACTGTTGTTATTATATGCTTTATTACATGACTCTGAAATACTTGATTCTGATTGGTCAATTGCTGTCAAGTATTTTCCCCCAGGCAGTTGATTCCCTCTGCAAGTTTCATGTTTCCCATATTACTATCTTTTTTTTTTTTTTTACGGAATTCAATTTCCACCATGGAATAAAAAAGGTAATTACGACTTCTCACAGTTCTGACTTTTTTCTTGTAATTCTGAGAAATAAACTCAGTATTGTGACCCATTAAGAAAACAATCAGAATTGTGAGATGACAAAAATCAATTACCTTTTTTATTCTGTGGCAGAAAGCAAAGCAATTTGTGAGATGTAAACTCAGAAATCAGAGAAAAAGTCAGAATTGCAAGATATGAACTCAGAATTGTGAGATGTATAAAAAAAAAGTTTGAATTTTGAGTTCATTCCTCGCAATTCTGAGTTTATTTCTAAGAATTATGAGAGAAAAAAGTCTGAATTTAGAGAGAGAAACAGGCTCGAATGGGCTTCCATATTTTTCGAACATATTTTAAATTCAAATGAATGTCTATTTATTGATTTGGTTAGTAGCCTTGTGATAAGTTGAATAATATACAGTTAGCTTTTTATCATCACAAAATAACCTCCACTTTTTGTCTGGTTTTATTTTATGGTAATGACTGACTAAAACATTTATCCGGCTGTACTTATATCCCTTCATTTTTGGATTTAGTGATTTAAATGACTTTTTCTCTTCTTTTTTTTTAGACTCCATACCATGTGAACCTGCTCTTGGCAGGATATGATGAGACCGATGGTCCAGGACTGTACTACATGGACTACCTGTCAGCACTTGCCAAAGCCCCCTTCGCCGCACACGGATACGGTGCCTTCCTCACCCTCTCCATCCTGGACCGATATTACAGACCAGGTGATTTTTACACTTTCACTTATGAGGATATATTTTTATATATACTCATAAGTGAGTATTATTTTTTGATTGATTGAATTCTAAGCCTGTTTTTCTGTTATTCTCACTCCAGATCTGACTCGTGAGGAGGCTGTGGATCTGCTCAAGAAGTGTTTAGAGGAGGTAAGTTGCTCTCCATATGCTGGTCTGTTCATGCATGTAATTTCATAATTACTGGTGGTTGTTATGAGAAGCATCACTATTACTATTGTTCATAACTGGGGTTAGATTCAAACATATTCAACAAACTTCCCCAAATCCCACATACTTCAAAAATAAAAATGTGGTTTCTATCTGAAAATCCTTTTTTTATTTTTTTTTATTTTGTCATTTATCAGACGCTTTTATCCAAAGCGACTTACAAATGAGGACAACAGAAGCAATCAATTGTAGTATTAAAACAACTAAAAACAGATCCAAAACTAAAAGCTAAAACTTTATAAATACTACCTATACACATTTTAAAAATAAAGAGATTAAATAAAAATGACAAATTCATACAACAAAATTTCAAAACTTAACATTTAAATGAAAAATAAAGCAAAAAACAATTCAAAATATTGAAGAACAAAAGGTATAATAATGATTCTAACATAACACTAAGGCAAACACCAAAAAAACAACAACTACATATGTGTATGTACAACCACACACACATACACACACACACACACATATATATATATATATATATATGTATATATATATATACATACACATTTATAAATTAAAGATATATATGATTTCATTTCCATTTAGTTTGAGTATTAAAATAACTCAAATTAAATAAAACTAAAAACTTAATAAAAGACCTATACATAATAAATTCAGACAGACATAATGTAACTAAAATTAAAATAAATAACAAATACAAATAATACAAATCAAATGACAGTAGTTTATCAGTAATCCTAAAAAATAACACTGCCAAACACACATGCTAAAAAACAACAACTTACTTACACATAGTAAGAAATGATTATAAAAACTGAAACAGAAGCGATACAAGTAATAGGAAAGAGGAGAAATAAAAAGCGATACTTATCCTTTGCCGGTGTCCCTGCCCGGTGGAGTCACACGGTAGAGTCGATGGTCTTTACACTCTTCAGTCTTCACACAAGGAGGCCTTCACGCGACGGCTGCCGCGACTGCTTGGTGGTAGAATGGCATTAAGTATCTCTTCGGTTTGCTGTTTGCTGGCATCCGCTGAGGGGCTCTTGGGTTTGGGTGGAGGTGGGACTGGGCCGCTCTCTACAATCTGTTGGGGACTCACTTTCAAAGGGCGACTCCTTGGAGACTTCCTCTCTGTATTCTTGCTCACCAACACCGGACAATCATACTTCAGCAAGGAGTCAGTTGGGAGAATCATGGTTACAATGTGGAAGTGTCAAGAAAATGTACAGAAATTTTTCATTAAAAAATTCATTTTTAAAATGTAATTTTTTTTTTCTTCCTGTGATGGCAAAGCTGAATTTCACACGATCCTTCAGAAATCATTCTAATATGTTGATTTGCTGCTCAAGAAACTTTTTTTCACAATTGTGTGATGGATAGAAAGTTCAAAAGAGAAGAATTTATTAGAAATAGAGATCATTTGTAACATTGTAAATGTCTTCACTCTCACTTCTGATCAATTTATTACATCTATGCTGAATAAAAGTGTTATTTTCTTTAAAAAACACTTAAACGCTGTGGCTGTGCCTTTTGCTCTGACAAGAACCACATGTTCTTCAGAAAATGTATAAATCCTTCCGTTTTGGTTCAGTGGGTTATACAAACCACTTTTGAGCTATTTCGATCATGTGTTTTGTCATGTTTGCTACCTTTTTTAACCGTTTTTGTATATTTCCTTGTTCTCCAACAGCTCAACAAACGTTTCATCATGAACCTGCCTTCTTTCACCGTCCGTTTGATCGACAAAGACGGCATCCACGACATGGAGAAGCTTCCCGTGGGCCCTAAATGAGCAACCACTGTTATTCCACTATAATCTCTACCCACACTCTTTTGTACTGCAAATGTAACCCTCTGTGCTCTAATAAAACATTGACCCCCTGTTAATTATATGGTCTTCTTATTCTTCCTTTTTTTGGATGAGAACATTTACTTAGACTCATCATTTTGTAGATTTTTTGGTTTTCCACACTAAAACACACTCAAAGGTTTGTTGTATCTGTTTGTGTCATACTGCGGAGTACAGAAGTTGGCAAAGAGGGGAGAAAAAGGAACGGCGTGCACTTATGCTATCTTTGGATGTGTACCTTTTTCCTCACTGCTTTGTACAGAAGTGTTTTTGCACGAGTACGTCTCCTTCCCCTCTCCTCCACAGACAGGTGATTAATAAACATTAAACAATCCCTCTCTCCTGAACACACCGGAATCTAAAGGGACGAGCAGCATATGTTCGCCTGCAGGCAGAGAGAAATGCAGAGCAGCCCTGCTGAGTGTCAGAGAGATGAAGGGAGGGAGGGGGTCACGGCGAGGGGGAAGCGGGGAATTGACACTCAGGATGGGTACGTGTGTGCGCTTGTGTGAGTGAGAGCCGGCAGGGGGGCAGGTATGGAGATGGAGGCCCCTGAGCAGACGAAGAAAGGTAGAGTGACGGGGTGAGAGGAGACAGAAGTGGTGGAAGAGAAGAGCCTAGCAACTGTTTAGCCGCATTCGCTGACTAGTGATTGCCGAGCCCCCGGGGGTTAGTGGTCAGGACCGTTTTATCTCAGAGGTAATTCTGCTGGATTTTCCACTGTCACATTGAGGTTTCGGTTTGGGTTAATGTCACCCTGCCTTTAGCAAATGGGGCTAGAAATTTCAAACATCCCCCTGGGTGTTCAATTTGTATCGCGCTAATTGTGTAATCACGCCAGATTTGTACCATGCCAACAAGTCCATTTATGCAAAGCAAAAACCTGCTAGCTATGTATAAAAAGTTGTTTTTCATCAGGAAGTCATTCTCCGCATCAAGCGGTTCAATTCAGTTGTTGGTTTAATAATATATTACATTTACATTGCAATACGGCAATTAGAATAACAGTGACATTGATAATAAACATACAACATGAAGTACAAAATGACATTTTCAAATTAATTTGTCAATACCTAATTACTTTTACACCCCCATCCTTAATTGTCCGTGCCATCTTTTGTGTCATTTGATTGGTTTAGTGGCCCGATCTCCAGAGAACACCGAAAAGGGCCCCGTATTAGTCAGTCATGGGGATCCAGAGGGAGTTTGTGGTCCACATGCAGTGTGAAGCATCGAGGCATTTCTGCTTTCTCTGGAGACCTTGGATTTCATTAGAGACGAATGCAACCAGTTCGTACAGGCGCGAAATGGTGGGGTGAATGTACACATTCGTACACATAAAGACACTCATACGCTCCTAAAAGTGAGGGAGGTAGTGTCTCTCTCCCGATTGTTCATTTGCGGTGCTTGAGGTCCTTGTCGTGATGGCTTTTTCCTCCTCCCTCTCCTTTATCCAGCAGTTTTAGGGCCTCTAGCAAGTAACTCTGGAAGGCTGACAGGGCGGCGCACATGGCGGGTGTGCCGAAACCGTGGGTGAGGAGGCTGAAGTGGGTCAGGCTGCTTTGCACCCCGGGCTCCAGGCAGGGGGTGGGGCGACTGGCACCCAACGGCGACCTGTCCTGCGACATCAGGTCCACGAACTCCTTGCAAATCTCCCTGAAGACGTGGAATGAGAGGTGAGAGTGAGTTTACCATGCGATACAGGTAAATGTGGTTTCAATAACCGTTATTAATGATATTCAAGTAGAAATGTGTTCACAAATAAAACTGAAAGCAGTTCCCAGTTACTTTACTGAAGTCTCTATCAGGGGTTTTCAAACTGGGGCCCTCAGAGGGTGCTGAGGGTTAAAATAAATATAAATAATAAAAAATAAATTATTTAAAATAAATTATTACCATTTCATTTAAAAAAGGTCAAAAATCATGAGATCAATCACAATTATATTCTATCGACTGCCATAGTTTTGTTTTTCTTTTCATTTAAATATTTTTTGTTGCACACAGACCCCCAAATATGAGGGACCCCCTTCTTAGAATATAAAGGCAGTTATATTTTCATGTATAAAGACTTAAGACCCATTTTTGTATTATTATTATACTATTATATGCTAAATAATACAATATGGAAAATATTTACATAGAAATATATATATATATATTATATCAAATATATATATATTATTTAATGTGTATATATATATTTATATATATATATAGACATTGATTATTTACATTTTTTTTTTTTATAAACATGAAGAAAAGCATAAAACTAGGGCGGTCGATAAAATAAAATAATTGTGATTGATCTCATTATTTTCTTACCAGTATATGGACAAAAATTTGGGGCACACTGGGGACTTCAAACCCCTAATATATGGTTTATATATAGACTATAAACTTATATCTGAACAAAAGTCTTTATTATGACTGAAATAACTTATTCCTTTTGAGTAAGTAGAACTATGTGATTGAACCGCTTGAAGATCTTGGCAGATCTAGTACTCACTTGGTGGCCAGCAGCATACTATGTCGTGTGGGCAGCTGATCTGGGTCGGTTTGTCTGCACAGATACTCTGCTGTGGCCCGGGCAGGGAACTCGGTCTCACACACGTACCCAAAGTCCCGTGCGAGATGAACCGCCTCACCTGAGAAGAGAGCGTGAAGATCGAAAAATAGAACTTGAACGTGCTGACTGAAAGCTTGAGGTGATAATAGGCTCTCGAACGTTTAAAAATAAATTCGTAGGCACTTATAATTTTAAGTTAACATTCCTGGAAGGTTAGTGCTTCACATTGATATTAACATCTACGTTCTCGCCATAAGTGACTGATAATGTAGTGTGTGTGCTGTGTTTGGGACAATTACTGCAGCAAGTACGAGGCGGTGTCTCAGCAGTAGACATAATCTGATAATGTGTATGTGTCTGGTTTTTATTAAATGTTTCAGTACCTTCCACCAGCGCTGTGAGGAGTGTGACATTAGCTGCCTTTCGCCGACCGGCGGGCAGGTTGAGGCCGATCTTCTCCAGACGTTCTCGTAGACAGCGGCCTCCATTTTTCGACTTGGCTCTGAAGGAGAACAGGTAGAAAAGATTAACACCTCAGCTTCATCCTAAACATCTGCTGTGCTTCTTCCTCTTTCCTTTCCATTCACCTGCGCAGGATTCCTCCGAGCAGCGAGGCATTGAGGCACTCGGGTGGGGCCAGGCGTCTCTGCACCTCTCCAACTGTGACCTTGTATTTAGAGGTGGAGCTGAGGAGCGACAAGCGGCCTGGGACAGAGCAGAAAACCTCTGCGGGGTTGGACACACCACCCAGGCCCAGGCCTTCTTTAGTGAAGGACAAGGCAGAGACTGTTGAGCCATTTAGCTTTGATGGGACCGGAACTGTTGGAAGAAACAGAAAGCGGTTTAGGGTATGTGTGCCAGAATAAACCCACAGGAGAGTGGAGAGTTCTTGTTTTAAAGAAAGTGGTGAAATTTATAAAAATGTGATAATTTGTGCTTTTGGATTTGGCCTTCTGTCATAAAACCCTTTTTAAGACGCTCTCCCACAGGTTGACATCTGTTGTGTCAGTGACACTGTGTTTAATTTCTGTTTCTCACTCTTATTTTCAAATGGGTGTTACTTCTCCATTGGGGGAAAGCTTAATTCCATCTGTTGTGCACACAGTCGTTTTCACTTGTTGTGCTTGTAATTAAAGTTTTCTGGCTCCTTAAAAACCTGTCTTTTAAATGAACCCAAAGATTATTGTGTCAAAAAATAACACAAAGTAATAAAATAGCAAACATAACACAGACAATTAGGCTATGTATTAACACATTTTAAAGCAGACATTGTATAAGTATTCTAATAAAGATTTTTTTTCCCCATTAAACCAAGGCACAAAAAGGAACGAGACAGAAACCCCCATTCAAACTCTAATAATGATTAGTGCTCTGGGAAGAACAGACTACCATTGGCTTTTAATTTCAGCTCAAGTATTTTTGTAACATCATTCCTAAAAAACCTTCATTTGTTTTCATAAGATTAGTCTGTGTGTTGATGCTTAATCGTGCATTTCCGTAAACATAATTAAAACAAAATCGTCTGCCCTGCAAATCATAGTAGCTGTAATTCATCCTCCTCCAAAAAGTGAAGCCGAATGCAGAATGTATGTGAAGTAATAGTTGCTATGCCACAGATCAGCCATAACTGCGCTCCCGTGTGTGTTTGCGCGATGCAGCGCTTCTCTCCTCCCCCTTTCCAAGCATTGGCACATAACACACTGTGTTACTGTTTATATTATCTATATCCTTTATTGTAGAGGTAAAATGCGCTGTAGTATTGGCTTTCTCCTCCTCGTGGGCGGTGTGCGCGTCTTCGCTACGCCCTGCTGTGCAGCACTGATTTGCGGACACAAACGAGCTCTGAGCGTGCGGCCGAGGTGCTGGAAGCATCTCACGTAAGCTGTGAGAGCAGATCCGTTTATTCATGTAGGCTTTAGTTTCTTCTCGACACAGAAATCTCCCTACACCCATGAGTACATAATTGATCCATTCTGTTGCTCGGTAAATACGCCAGATTTCATAGAGCACTAAATATATGCAATAAATCTAAAATAAATGCATAAGTAATTGATGGAAATATGCTGTACTGCACTGCAGAAAGAGGCTATCCTTGTTAACTATCCACTCCATTTTTTTTTTCTGGTAAGCGGAAAGGAATGGTGATGCTCTGAATTCTTCATAACTTTATTATCTGCTCTCTTCCTCCATTTCGCCTTTCTCTAATCCCCCTCTTTCTCTCATATGACCATGAACAGTTCATTAACAGCAGCTGCCTTAAGGGTGAAGGCAGAGTGCTACAGGATTTCTTGACTTCAAATGAAATTGCAGAGCTGAATTATTTTGTGCGTGTGTGTGTGCTTGACTGAATCATTTATGGTGTCTGAGCAGCACATAAAATCTTGTTCCCCCCAAGAGGCGCCG